CCCTCGTTGCGTAGCGGGGTTGGTGCCGCACTCGAAGCGGCATTCCGGTCCGGGGGTCCGGGCGGCGCTCGAGAAGCTTTGCTGCCAGTTCGGAGCTGTGTCAGGAGTTGAGAGGTGTTTACCTGAGCAATGTGGCTCTGCCAGAAATAAACGTGCCTAGCGGTGCTCCCTGAGTGCAGGCTGCCTGGAAGTTTTACTACAGAGGTCTATAAACATTATCTTCAGTGACCAAGGAGCAGCTTAAAGTAGTGCATATATCTTCCCCCAGGTTCTGGTTTTGTTTTGGTTTGTTTTGCTTCGGTTTTTTTCCCCAATTCTCCCTTTTTTACCTAGGTTTCCACTTGATTATTTGTGGAAATACCATATTTCCAGGTGAGAATCTCCAAGAATTGGTGTTGCATGTTTTACTACTTCAGTGATTGATTAGTCTGGTTGCCCTTACATCTGCAGGTGGGTTATTGGAGAACTGGGTTGGTTTGGTTTGTTTCCAGTCATGCTGTTAGTGAACACTTCACACGCTTTGAGCAGTTACGTGCCTTCAGTTAGGGTAGTTTGGTGGGACTGTGTAGAGAGCTCGTATGATGCTTACGGTAGCTGTGGCAAGTCTTATGTTAACATCTCTTTTGTAACCCTTCTCTAAGTGCAGCATCTGTTTATAGTTAGAAAAATGTGATAGACTTGCCTTGAATAAGTTATTAGTTCCCACCTGTTGTACAGCTGTTGTTTGCCATTGAAAAAAAAAAAAGTAGGGACTTGCATTACGTTTCAAGTTATGTGTGCAGAGCCAGTGTTGCATTTTTTTTTAAACTATGTGCTAAATATCTCTCATCTTACCATTTAAAAAAAAATTGTTAGCAGCCCATCAATGTTGCTATTACATGGTATCATATACCTGGTATACTCAGAGGAAAGGGAAGGGTTTAGAAAGGCAGAGATGGATGTAGTGCTTCCTCTGCTTATTAAAATGTCACAGAGATCCATTACTTAGCTAGCAGACAGTGGGCACCAGACAATGTTCAAAAAACACTCGGGCAAATGAATAGAAGCAGTATTCGTTGGGGCTTATTAAACACAAAGATAGTATGTTTGGCTTTGGAAGGCAAACACGAGCTGCAGATTCCTTAGTATGCTCACACCCAATTTCTAGCACGTGTGCTGTATGCTTGCCCTGTTTTTGTATCTTTACTTATGTATCTGCAGTTGTAAAGCTGACTTATGGAACGGATGCATATTGGGCTAATTACTGGAATAAATGCACCTTTGGTGTTACTCAGTATAGTCCTTTGTGTGTTCTTAAGCCCATAGTAGGATGTGGTCATGCTGCTGAGTAGGTGGGCTGCAGGTCTGTAACTTGCTTCAGAAACTTCCTCTGGATAGTTCGTGGTTTTGAAGGCTCTTATATAATAGAGCAGTAGGGAAATGTCCCTCCTTTTTGTTCTTTTCCTTTTCTTTTTTCTGGTTTTCTTTGCGCTGCCCTCCTCATAAATACAAATGCAATTTTGAAAGGGAGAAATAACTATGTGCAGGTACAGTATTTCCTTCCTGTGGGGCAGGCCTACAGCAGCTTAAGGTGATCCCATCTCCAGACCGATACAGAAGTGTTCAATGTTCATCCAGATCAGCTTCCTGAATCATCTCACTGCATCACTGCAGGGGTGCTCACGACAGCAGGGGACAGGAGTGCAAGGCTAACTGTGTGTTGCAGGCTTCTGTTGTAGCAACCTGAGTTGTAGCAACCCGAGTTGTAGCAACCCATGCAGTCATGCTAACTGCAGTCTGATACAGCTTGAATCTGGAGGTGTGAACTGCTGTGGGGTTTTTCTGCCTCCCTGCCTCCCCCCCCAAAAAAAAAAAAAAAAAATCTTTGGCATCCTTAAATTTTAGTCTGCTAAATAATGACTTGGGAAAGGAATATAATGTGAATCTTTTCCTCTTTAAACCACTTGCATTATTCTTTTTCATATAGGAATAAAAACTCCATTATTTAAATGAATCACCAAATAATAATAATAATTCCAACTGTTATATTAATTGGAAATTGTCATGATTTGGCAGCTAAGTACTGACTGTATCAGGTACTTCAGATTTCCATTTTTAATAAATGCAATACTGATAGCCAAGGTAGTAATTGAGAAACAGAACAAAACCCAAGTGTTCAGTGCTGCTTTTTTCTCCTTGTTTTTTTCCACCTCAAATTAGCTACTATGCTAGTATTTTGTTGGCCATCTGTGCCTCTAGTTACAGACCTGTATGTGCCATACCTCATGCGTGAGAAGTCTTTGCTGTTCCTGTATTTTACATGATAGGAGCTCAAAAAGGAGTGCGTGTTTTCCAGGAAGTTTTCCCGCTCCCTCAGTTTGAGGAAGCTCTAAAAAAATGTTTCTGGGTTTTGTCTAAAAGCACTCGTGCTTATGTTTGCTGTATCTAGGAGGTAGACTAAGGCTTATTTGAACAACCTGTTTCTATGTGGTTTTCTGCTCTGTTCCATTTTCTATGGGAATTCGTTTGGTACTAGTTCCTGAAGCATGTAAAGCAGTAAGTCAAGGAGTAAATTATGTGAGAGGTAGGCTGGGGAGAGCTGAACAGTGTTGCATGTACTGTAGTTTTCCTGTCTGCTGGCCCATGCCGCTGGTGCCAGTCAGCTTGCAATAATGTGGTGGAAGGATGTCAATGTAGCAGTTAATCGGGGACGGGTATGATTTGGGGACCATGCGACACAAAACCTGGAAGGCTTGTTCTAGTTCTGGGATGCTCGTGTGGTGCTGGCCATACCAATTCAGAGGTGCCTTGCGCTTGCCACTTTTAACTGACTGGTCCTGGTGAAATGAAGATGCAGTATATTGGTACCTGCAGAAAAGCTGGGTGTTCTTCTGTGCAGGGACCTGCTTTGGATGCTACAGTGGACAGTGCTGTTGGTGTTCCTGTGGCATGCTACATATTGGCTAAAAGTGAAGCTTTCGCCTTTGCCCATGCTGCGAGAAAGCAAACTGAGAATTGGGTCCTTCAAAAGGGGCATGATGGGATCTCACTGGGATGGGGGAGGATCAGTGTTACATGCTTTCTTCATATGCACACACACTACTTCATGTTGGATGACTGTTTGTGTATCTGATGATACTCTTATAATGACACTTAAATTCATGTAGCTGATTAAAGACTTTGGAAACCTGATACTGCCCTAAGTAGCACTTTTCCCCATCCAGTGATTCCATGAATCTGGAGGGTGTTTAACTCCAGACACTTTCATAGACCAACAAATCCAGTAGTTCCGTAAAATTTTGGAGTTGTTGGATGATACGTATTATGATTTCATATGTTTAATACATATGAATGGGACAAAATCAAGTTGGTTTTTTTTTTTCTTTGAGCTGTGCATTAAAAATTCATACTCATTTAGATGTTCGGTCATGGCAAGTCTTGGTATTTTAATGTCAAATACTTGGTCTGCCTTCATGAAATCATTAACTGCTCTCTATGATGGCCACTCTCTCTGCTTTTCCTTTCTCATCTTTTCTGATTTGTTCCTGCAGCTTCCTCTACTCTCCATTTTTCTGCAGGTTTCCTCCTGTTCCTTTTCCCCATGTTATCAGGTTAATTAGTGCAATAGCTATTTTTGATACATATACTGCCTTCAGTAAGTGCTAGAGTTAACACCTGATTTCAGAGAATAGTATTTGTGTCTCGCTACACCTTTATTTACTGGTCTGTTCATTTTGCTTATTTTGAAAGGCAACATGGCACCTGGCAAGTTTTGTTTAATCTGCATTCAGTATTAATAACTATGGAAACTACCGAACTTAATCTTAAAAATAAGCTATTTGTACATAAACATCTTAAGTGCTGGTAAGAAACTGATGTCTTTCTGCAAATATACCTTTTAAACAGGCTGCTCAGGGTAGCAGGTGTGTAACTGTATATCTGTTGAGTAGCTAAGCTGTCAGGTAGAAGTTGCTATAACGGCATGGGTGTAAGGAGAAAGGACTGAACTAAATCCATTTCCCAAGTTGAATGAAAAGAAACAGACAAGATTTTTCTGCAGGGTGGCTGTTTTACAGGAAAACCAAGCTGTCAAGCAGTGGATTTTCATATATATTGCAGGAAGAACTTGGCAATTATGTTTACATCCCGTCATCATTTGACTATCTATTTTAGCTCATCACAAGGATATATTAACAGTGAACTTGATAACCTGTGGCTGTAACCTTGAAGAAGGCTTTTTCTTTCTGAGAAGGATGTCTGGATTTATGCTGTGAGGGAGATGTTACTTGGAAGTGCTGCCTAAACACAACACTAGAGTTGAAAATACGATAATCCTTTTTAAGCTGTTTAAGGTGCTAAGGAAACTTGGGTAATAAATTCTGTTAGTGACGTTCTTTACAAGTCCCTGGTGCTTCATAGAGCTGTGATAGTCTGATAAAGTAGAGCATCTGATTCTGCAACAGAAGAAATTAAAATGACCTGGCTTAATTGATTTTCTATTTATGTACTGTAGGCTGCTTTCTGGCTAGGAAGTTTTGCTGTATTCTTTTAAGGGGGTGGCAGGGAAGGAGCATGAGGATTCACTTCCGTTAATTTTAATCTTAAATCTTACGCTGGCAAAGATCTGTTTAGATACATTTCTAGGGGGTTATTGGTTTTGCTGGTCTTAAAGAAAGACTGCTCAATTATTATTTTTTCCTAACGATTCTAGTATATTAACAACTCGTTCCTTTACTAATCTGTCTTGCTGTAGTTCTGGATTGTCATTGACACACAAAGTTTCACTGAGTAAAATTTGATTCTTATATTGAAATGAGTCTTTAGTACTGGTGTGAGATTTCTTGCTTAATTGCACAGTTATCCAGTATGTTCTGAATGTGTAGAAAGTAGGAAGATAAAGCAGTTTTTCTGCAGATGTATATATTTTATCAAGATAGGATCTTCGTCACCCATGAGTGTGTTAATCTTGTGGTCCTGCTACCTTTTTCTCGCTTACCTCTCCCTCTACCTCTTCCAATCTTTTCTGCACAGTTTGCTTACTTCAGACAACGAAAAACAAAAAGTGACATCACGCAGCCGCAGAAAAAGACGGCGAAGAGGAAGGGCTCGTCTGTCCACACGCATGACGTTCCGAAGGAAGAGTACGCACTAGCAGCCCAAGATGTTGGTAAGGGTATAGAGAGTAAGGCTGAAGACACCGACCTACTAGAGAGTAAGGCTGAAGACACCGACCTACTAGAGAGTAAGGCTGAAGACACCGACCTACTAGAGACAACAACAGAGACAGAGGTAAATCTTAGTATTTCTTGCGTTTCACTTCACTCCGTCTGCAGATAAGAAGTATTCCAGATGATTGTTTTAACTTAATTGGGTATTAGCTCTCTGGCACTGTCAACTAGCTGCCATCAGAAGTAAGTAAAGCAGTGTATTTTCACTTGTAATAATTAACTTTCTTACAAAGTGATGTAAATAACTGAAAAAACCCCTCCATTATATGGACTGGACAGTCAAGGAGCTGTCTGCTGTTAGCCTGCTAAGTTTCACCTTTCACTGCCGTGAACTTTTCTTTGGGCAGACTTTTGGCTGTGACTCCATGAAATGGCAAATCCAGACTGAGAGGTGTAGTAGATGAGCAAAACTGTTAGGACCTTATAATGCATAGCATTAGTTTAGTTTTGTATCACTTTGCTGGCTCAAATGTGCTTAATGTTTTCTGAAAAAATATAGTTTGTTCCAGCATGCTTTTAGTAGCTATTGTAAAGCCAGCATAGATTTACATTTCAGGACAAATTTGTTTAAAATGTGACTCTGCTTGTGCCTTATGTATTTCAGTGTGTTTGTACTGATGACCCTCTAGAGGTAGCCCTATCGTCATGTCAATAAACGTAGAAACATAGCTTATGATGTAGTTTGAGACTACCAGACATCTGCAAATGTACTGCTCTGCCTGAAATAAGCAGTTTCTTTCTTGCTTCAGCTCACAAGCAAGATTTTTATTTTTGTATTAGCTGTGGATTAGACAGTCATGCAATGCTTTCTCTCTCTTTCTGCCTTGTAATAAAAATAAGCAAAATGTAGTTTTGAACAATTTTTTTTAGTAGGAATCCAGTTTGCTTCAGAAGTGGCTGGCTAATGCTTTCACAAGCCTCAAAAGTTACAAGGTGACTCTCTGCCTACAACAAACTCTATCTATCTTGGTCTGGGAGTTTGTTTAGAAAGTAGTTTCCCAGTGCATTTCAGCATGTTGTCTATGCAAAGATTCGTGAGTTTTGGGGAGGTGGTGCCTTCTGCATAAAAAGCATCTCTCCAGCTATTGGTGTGTTTTCACAACATACAACAATAACAGCAAACTAGTGTATTTGCAAACCTGCAATAACAGAGGATACCGTTTGCATGTATTATCCTCCTTTCTGTTGTGAGGGTATCCCTAGTGCTTTCAGAATATCCTGAACGTAATGTTAGCATTGCAAAGGCTTTTACGAAGCTACATGCCAAGCTGTCTGCACTAAGAAAACAGAATACAGTATTTTGTCACTCAACCATAGCATCATCAGTAGCATCCTTATTACATTAATATGAACTTAAATTAAAAAACAAACAAAAATCACTTACTGCTTCTAAACAGCCTCTGTCAAAATAGCTGGTTTGTACAGCAAATTGAATTGCTTTCTAGGTTACGTGGAGAGGGCACCAGTAGTCATTGGAAACTACTTTGTGCAGATTCAAAATACAGGGAGGGTTATGGGCTGCCTTTTCTAAATAGTGCTACAGTCATCTTTGTCATATGAATTTAGTGTGAGGTAAATATCTATCAAGATATCAAGCTACATTAAGTATATGCATCAGAAAATAGTACTGCTTTTGTAACTGTCTGAATGATTTTAGCATATTTGTTAAGTAATCTCCTGCCAGTTAGTTACTAATATTTAGTAGTGGATTAAAGAATGCTCAACTGTATTTGCAAGCCACAAAAGCAGAAGATAAAACATTGAATCTCAATGGTGACGCTCAGCCCTAAATTTCTGAGTAGACATTCATAATAATCGTAATTTTTTTGCATTTATTTAATTCATTTGACCATGGATGACAGCTGAGTTTAGCATTAAAGTCAGTCTCTCTCTCACTGTCTCTCACAGTCTCTTTCTCTCCATGTCTCACAACATGGACATTTCTGGCTTATGTGCTTAAGGTGCTTCCAAAATAATTCAGCTTTTCCTTACGTATCTTTAAAATGGCCATGATTTAGTGTTTATTTGTTTACTTCCTAGGGGAGTGCTGACTTGTCCAACTGGGATGCACTGAATGATCACGCGGCTGAAGTAAGTGTGAAAGAATGTATCTTTAGTAAAAGATGCTGATATATATGTGAAAGAAGAGTATGATAATTGGTTACTAAAATGACTAGTTATTGAGCATTGTTTATCACATTTGATAAAAGTGATGCGATTTCATTATTTTACAGTCTAAACCAGGTACTTATCTGTACGTACTGCATACTTATCTATATGTACTGGCTGCAAAATTGGTTGCTAAGAGAATAGGGTTTAGTGAAATCATGGACCTTGTCCAGAGAGATTTGAATGACATTTTTAATTGAAAAGTAGGTTTATTCTGTAATTGTTTCATACATTACAAGCAAAAGTATTCAAAATAAAATACAAGATACTGTCTCCTCTGTGAGAATTGTAACAGTATTGCTCCTAAGAAACCACAGGATTGATTGGAGCAGCTTCTCTCTTTGCACGTGTTTTTTTGTTTTGCTTTTAAAGGCCATAGAAACTCAGAATATGTTGCCTATTTATTTGCAATAACTGCTTACACTTGAATTTAATGTTAAGTCAAGAACTTTACATTATTATTTTTCCTATGGATGGACTGTTCTCCAGTCAACACAGATGTGTGTAAAAACTTTGTTTAATTTTGGTAGTATTCACCCTCTGCCCACTTGTAAGTTGGAAGGTATTTTAAATCCCAACACGTGTCAGAATGGCACTTTGCCACAATTTGGTGCTATAGAATCACAAAGCTCTTTTCCCTAATTTACTTTTGTGCCTTAAAGTATTATATGAAAATATACTATCTATGACAATTTTTTATTTGAAGTTTTTAAGAATTAAGGACTCTATATATAATGTTTCTATTAAATACAAAGTCCCAGTATTGAATTATTTTTAAACTACAATTTGCCCAGAATTTAAGTTTGAATTTATAATCAGAGTAATTACAAAACAGAAATGGTATATTGTTTTGGTGAATAAACACGTTTTTGTTTCTTTTGTGAAGAAAGTTACGATAAATTCTGCTGCAGAATACAGTGAGCTTGATGCTAAGATGTCTCAGGCAAGATTAGCTGAGTTAGAGAACAGACTTCTGGAGAAACAGGAAGCGGTCGAAAGACTCACTGCTCAGATGAACGAGCTACAGGAACAACTCACCCAGCACAGTGACTCTATGCAACTTCAGGTATGTTTCACAGAATTGGATAATGGGGATAATACTACTTTATTTTAATCATGAAAATATTTAGGAGGCAAACTCAAAATAAATACTGTGTTTTATTGAAAAGTACTTCACTTTGCGAACATGTGCTGCGAAAAGCAGTACTGAGGTTTTCCATTCACCAGTGTCCAGGACTTCATATTGCTTGATTCAAGCGAGAGTAGAATTAAATTTAAAATGCTTCTGTTTTTAGAGAGTTTTTATGAAATGAATAGTTAAAGTCTTCTGCTGAGAAATGGTTGGACACTTGCTACTAGTTTTTATTGATGAATTTTCTGACCATATTGAGCAGTGGGCCTTTATAGGGAGAACCTGCAAGAACCGCTAAGGTAAGTATAGTTAATCATACACTGAGATAGGGGTTCAATGTAAAAACATGGGACTTACATTTTTATAAATACTGACTTTAAAAATACATATATTATATATCAAGGTCATGCTGAAAAATGGTGCAAAAAACCCACCCCGAAGTATTGTTCAAACTATTGAAAAAGAAGTACTTATTCCTGAAAACCACTTCATGGATGTAGCTAGACTCCTTTTCAAATGTTCACATGGGATGGCAGACACCGCTACTGCCGTCACCACCCCGATGACGTTTTTCCCCCAGAGATCATTCACGCTTTTTGAATATTTGTAAATACTTGTGGCTTTTTGGTTTTGGGGTGGAGTTTTTCTGAATGGGCAAATGATTAAGTAGGATAAGTTAAACTTTATTAAACTGACACGTACCTTCTCCTCTCCCAAAATATTAAAAAAAGATATTTTGAATTCCCTTTCTCCAGCATTTCTATGTAAAAGTAAATTATCAGGTGCTTCTGAAGAATAGTTACTTCCCCCTTTACATGTTGTTTTTCTCCTTTTAGGATTGCGAAACAAAGATATTTCCTGTTGGTGAGAAATAAATTGAAAAGGTTACTGTGATTAACATAGGATTAATGTATCCCATCTCATTAGCTTTCTCTCACATGGCTGAAAAGAAGAGCTGACAGGAAACAATTTAGGGGGTACTAAATATTCATTATATCCTGTAGAAAACTTGATTGCTTTTACATCAATAAGAGCTACAAAATTTTTAAGTAAAAACATTTATTTCATTACTGGTATCCTATCATTTGTTTAAAAAGTCACTTTTGATTAGGTTTGTCACCTCTTTGAGACAAGTGTAAGATTCCTCTTTCATGATGCCTGCCATCATGTTTGAATACAAATATTTCTAGTCCTTTGGTGCAAGGTTGTTAGAGTCTATAGTTACACTCAAGTTTTAACAGCTTTGCTTTAAGAAAACTTATTAGGTTCCTAATATGTTAAGAATATTTTAACTTTAAAAGTGCACTTCTTGTGATCTGTGTAGGAAACTACCGTTCAAGAGCAGAATGAAGTCATCAGGAAACTAACAAGCTGCCTTCAACAGGCGAAGAAGGATCGGGATGACCTACAGGAAGAGGCTTCACGTGTAGCTGGTCAGATCCATGATTTACAACTTCAGTTACATCAGGTGTGCCTCTCCTCCAATTTTTGTTTCCTTACAAAGAGAATAAGAACAGGTTTGGCATATGAATGTAAAAACATACTGAGCTTATCACATAGCTCTTCATAGTTCAGTTTGCAATGCAGCAGTGAAAATGATTTCAGGGTGAGGCAGAGTTTCTCCAGTTGCTAGGGAGAAGTCCCGGAGACATCCTTACGTTTTCCCACTTACTTGCTTGTGTAATGTTTGGGAGGTCGTTAAACTTCTTTGTCCATCAGTTTGGCGCCTGTTAGGGAATTTTACCCAATATTGTTAGTGGTTTGGGATCTATGCACAGCAATCACTGTAATGATATGGACTTACATGTGATCAGTTTTCCTTGCCTTTGCCAAAGAAAGCTCTGAGTATGGCAACTGTAATGGCTAAGCCGTTACACAGAAACTTGCTTGTTGAGGTAATGTGACTTGGCTCAAAGAAGGAGATTTAAAATAACCTGAAGAAGAACCTGCTTCAGTGCAACAAGTTTATCATGGATCTAATCTCTGGATAATACACTGCAGCCTTTCATCTACTTCAAAGTATTGTAGTTTTTTTTTTTTATTCTTTTTTGGTGCTGCTCAGTGTTCTCGTGGCTAGAACACCTGTATATTTGTTGTCTCAGGAGCCTTATAGTATATGCCAAAGAATAATACTTATGTTTACTTACCATTTCAGGGTTGCAAGGTAAGAATTGTGCTAGGAGGGATTACATGTCTTAAATGTCTGGATAGGAAGGGGGGTTAAAAAAATTAAAAATAAAACCTGGGATTTACTGAAGTCCAGGGATTATCTTGAAGGAGTTGCTCATGCCCTGGAAAATAAATCTTCTGCTAAATGACATTGTAACTTTGGAAAAGAACAAAAAATACTTTCTATGTACAATTCTGACTGCTGTTGACAAAATAGGGGGTAATAGTGAAAATTATTCTCCAGATGATTGTTGGGATTTGCTCTGTAAGCCATTGAAAGACAATGATACAGCCTCTAAATAGCACTTCAGGCATATTCTAATCAAGGCTAGTAATATGATGCAAGTTGTTTGTGGAAGCATGTCAACTTTGATAACAGATGAAAGTACTAATACTGTCTTAAATATTATCTTCTTGGTTTTAGCAAAGTCTTTGGAAAAAGGTTTTAAAAATGAATAAAACACACTTTATTTTACCCCCAAAGAGGTAAATGTTTTCTTTTCATTTGGAGGGAGGTGGAGAGAAAAAAAACCCTTTAATATTGAGCTGTAAATCCTTTGCAGGGACTGATTTTGTTCATTGTCCTCTTACCAGTATGGCCAGTCCATTGGAAGTCCTGCTTTGTTTTGGGGGCTTCACAGAGATGAATTATCTAACATTTACATCTTTGCAGTAAGTTATAGTATCTAAAATATGACAAGTGTTGTCACACTTCTTAGGGGAGATTCTTATTCATTGAGAATGAAAGACATAGGGTAAATCTGTAGTAAATGAATACAGTATATTTTATGCATACAGTGAGACTTGTGTCTGCGTTATTCTGATATAAACTTTCTTCTGACTGTGAGTACCTTTATTTGTTCAGGTTAATGAGATGCTGAGGAGTAAAAGGCCTGGAAAAAATGAAGCATTAGAAGCCCAGCAGCAGATGTCCTTGTTTCAGAACTGTCTCAAAGAGCAAAATGCACATTTGGAGATGCTGCGTCAGAAAGCACATGACCTGGAAGTACAGCTTGAGTCTTCTCAAAAGGTAAATGAGTTCTAGATAGTTAGGTTTTTGTTGCGATTGTGCAAGCCAAGGTGGTACTTTTTGGAGGTAGAACCTGCAATGAACATTTAATTTGTTCATGAGGTAACATTGATGCTTCAGGACTGAAACTACACTTTAGTATGGAATTAAAAATCTATTCTTCTGAAGGTAATGATATTCAGCTAAGGCAAAATAGCTGCTCACAATTTAAGATTTTTTTTGTGTGAAATAAGGATTCAGTTCTGGGTCTTTAAAATTCGCTTATTCATTGAAATTACTCATAGAATCATAGAATCATTAAGGCTGGAAAAGACCTCTAAGATCATCAAGTCCAACTGTTAACCCAACACCACCATGCCCACTAAACCATGTCCCTAAGCGCCTCATCTACACGTCTTTTAAATACTTCCAGGGATGGTGACTCCACCACTTCCCTGGGCAGCCTGTTCTAAGGCCTGACCACTCTTTCGGTAAAGAAGTTTTTCCTAATGTCCAGTCTAAACCTCCCCTGGCGCAACTTGAGGCCATTTCCTCTCGTCCTATCGCTTGTTACTTGGGAGAAGAGACCAACCCCCACCTCGCTACAACCTCCTTTCAGGTAGTTGTGGAGCGCGATGAGGTGTCCCCTCAGCCTCCTCTTCTCCAGGCTAAACAGCCCCAGTTCCCTCAGCCGCTCCTCATAAGACTTGTTCTCCAGATCCTTCCCCACCTCCGTTGCCCTTCTCTGGACACGCTCCAGCACCTCAGTGTCTTTCTTGTACTGAGGGGCCCATCGGTTTCTGTTGCAGAAGGGTTGGTCTTTAACTCTGTTACTAAACTGTTGTATAATATTAAGAAGTTTCCATCAGAAGGTCCATCTGGTGTTTGTTGAACTGGGGCATGTGGGAACATAACTGACAGAGGCTTGCAGTGGGGTGAGGGTTGCTGGATATGCTGTGTAAGCATATAACAGTACACTTGTGTATGAACTTGAAACACCTAGATGAGAGTAAGAATTAAGGGTATCTGTAATCATGTTAGTTTCAGATACAAAACAAAGTGAAAAGCTTGTGAGGGAATATTTTTATGTAATCATTTCAGAAACAAGCACTGTGAATAAAGAAACTCAGTTTAAGTTAAAAACACATAACAGGTTTGGTTTTTTTTTTTTATGATATGTATTTCAAATTTGGTGATACCTCTGACTTGCTGTAGTGACATGGTCATGAAAAAAGTCTTTTTCTTTAGAAACAGATTTATAGGAATTTTGATTACTAACATATATTAAAGGAACAGCTTAAAAGGTCTGATTTCCTTTAAGCACATAACCAGCAATGCCATAGGTAGAAGCCTTTTGTTATTGCTTGGACAATTTGATATTTGTTACCACATTTGAAGAGTCTTTCAGTGGTACTTTCCACTCAAGGATGTGCTTAAAAATCCTGTTGCCTAGGCCAATGATACACCCTGCACTTAACGGTAAATATTATTTATGAAGAAACATTAAAAACATGAGGCTTAAGGAAATTAAAACATGTCATATTTCAATGGCATATTTCATATGTAATATTTTATTTTTAAGAATACTAAAAATAAAGAAAATCTGCTTCCCCAAATGGAAGAGGATATGAAAGATACAATGCAACAGCTATACAAAAGCATAGGAGAAAAAGAACAGCGTATTAAAAGCCTTCAAGATCTACTGACATCGGAAAGATTTAGCTTGTCTATACTACAACGTACCCTTTCTCTCCGGGACTTAGAAATAACAGAATTAAAAAATGAAATAGCTTTATCCAAAATGAAAGAAAGGCAATGTATTGAAGAACTGAAAATCAGTCATGAAAAGGATATTTGCAGGCAGTTGGAGAACTTGAGAGCTGAGCTGGAGACATGCCAGAGAAGAGAGATTGCAGAAGCCAAGCAGGTATATGAAGAAGAAATTATTTTAAAATATAAGAATGAACTTGAACAATTAAAAAAAGAACTCTCTGCTCTGAATTCTGAAGAACACATTCAGAATTTGAATGGCATAATAATTGACTTAAATAATAGTCTTCGTGAGTCTGAAATTAATAAAGAAAATTTGAGAAGGAAACTTGAAAACCAACAGGAAGACTTCCAGAGAGAAAAATCTGAAATTGAGACTAAATACAAGGATTTAATTGATGGCCTTAAGTCTCAACTTTCTGATGCAGAAAAGCAGGTCAAGGAGGCCCAGCGATATAAACAAGAAAAACAGTTCTTGAATGAAGAGATTCAGAAACTGAATTCTTTTATCCAGGATTTAAATGAAAAGCGACTTTATGAAGCTGAAAAAAGTATAGATGTAAGGCAAAAACATGATGAAGAGATTGTCTCCAATAAAAAGTTAATGAAATTGAGGGAAAAACAGATTTTACCAGAGGTGTTGCAGTTGCAGAGAGCAGAGCTTGAGGAGATGGGAAATAAACCGCACCAGGTGAAAGGTGAAGATGAGCTAGTTCACGAAGAACTAGAGTTCCAGCATGCCTTGGGAGTAGACTTCTCAAGGGATCAGTTAGAAGAAATTAAGAATTCAAAGATTACAGAGAATAATGAAAGTAGTGAAGGAGATAACCTGTCTGAAGAACACTTGTCAGAACTAGGGTTTTTCAGGGGTGATGAAGGCATATTGGCTAAATATCTCATCTCCACAGACAGACCAGAAGAGTCATATGCGTCCAGCACTTCTGAAAGTTATGCCATTGAAGAAAGTAGATGCATTAGGTATGGGTTAGACAGTAGTGTGCTTCTAGAACCCAGCAGAGATTTTATACCTCCTCCATTAAACTTTGGCCTTGATGAGAAAACATGTCCTAGCGGTTTGGCTCAAGAGACTTTTGAAGAGACTGAAGTAGGAGCAGAGGCCTTTGTTTCATTGTTGTCAGATACATCCCTGCACCAAAACAGAATAAGTGACCACGATGATATAAAGGATGATGAGGCCACTTGTTTAGTAGAGAGATGTGTAAAGCTAACTGAGAAGCTCCGTGAGAAGGAGTCAGCGTTGAAGAAATCTTATCAGGAGACCCAAGAAGCTGTTGGAAAATGGGAAGAAGTAATGGCTGAGCTCTCTCATATGCATGTGGAACTGGATGAGGAACGTGAAGCACGGATCTGTTGTGAAAAAGAACTTCTTCAAAAAACAGAGAAGGAGAAAGAACTTGAAAACAAAGTAATGTTTCTAGTAAAGCAGCAGGGTGAGGATGGAGGCCAACCTTACTGTGCTCTAGAGCCTTTAACACAAGTGTCAAAATCCTCTACCTGGCAAGAAATGGTAGAAGACCTCCAGGAGGAAAGAGAAATGTTGATGGTGCAGCTGCAAACTCAGGAGCAATTAGTGAAAGATGTTCAAGAGCAGAAAACAGTTTCTGATTCTGTAACGAGTGAAGTACAGTCTCTTTTTGGACGTCAGTTAGCTGCTTTGCAAAGTCAAAGGGATCAAATGCAAAGCCAGCTTGATGCTCAGAAGGCTAAAAACGAGACAATAGCAGAGCTGCTTGGTCAGAAAACTATATCTGAAGAGACATTGCTAAAAGAACAGGAGTTGCTCAAAGCTGAAATCAATAATAAAGAACAAAATTTAGCACTCTTATTGAAGGAAAAAACAGCCTTAGGAGAAAGATTATCTGACGTGGAGGAGGATCTAATAAAAGCAGAAAAAGCACTAGCAGGGAATGCTAGCATCATTGAGGATCTTGAGAAAAACATACATGAACTTAATGCTGAAGTGAAAAACCTCAAAGAAATACAGGAGTGTGAAAGACTGGGATACGAGGACAGATTAAACTTCAGCAGCCTAGAGATTCATAAACTTAATGATGAAATAAAGGCAAAAAGTACTGAATACAGTGAGGAAAAAAGCCAGTTGACTGAAGAAATTGCCCATTTGAAGAAGGTTCGTTTGGAGCTTGAGACTTGCTTGCAGGAGTCCTTTCAGTCTGCACAAGCTGTGCAGGAGGCACAATCAGAGATGGTGAAACATTACAAAGAGGAAATCGATAAAATGGAGACTCAACGCCTTGCCGAATTAACTAAAGTGAGTTTGACACACGAGAAGGAGGTAGGAAATCCTGATAATGCCAGCAGTCTTGGGATTTCAGAGTGTTTAAGGTAGTAATTGCAAATGTTTGTATGCCTGTTTTCAGATAGAAAAATTAAATGCTGAAATAAAAGATAAAGTGGAAAAACAGCAGAAGTTGGATGAAGAAAGAAGGGAACAGATTGCTTTAATAAAAAAGGTAAATGCTGTAATTGGGTTTACTTCAGAAAAATAAACTCATTTTGTGTTGTCATTTAAGCAGTATAAATGTTTTATAGATGCAAAAATCTATTAATTGTTTTTTCCATGGTGTCTTTGATTTGTGGTCAGGAGGAGGTGAGAATTCTGGCTCAATTCATTAGGGGGCTAACTAACCATATTTTGAAGAAAGCTTTTTCTCTGCAGGTACATGAACGAGAGCATGATCGTGAGATCTCTGAACTGATTACTAAACATGAAGAGGAAATGGAGAAGCTCCGTGCCGAACTAAATAAAGAACAGCAGCACCTGTTGGATGAACTTCGGCAGCAAATGGCAGCCACACACAAAGCAGAGATTGAGCAAGCTCAGCTCCAATCACAGGTAAAATAAAGAAACACAGTAATTACCACAGTGGTTACCTAGTTGTTGCAAAGACAAAGCTCCTTGATTTTTGTGCATACTATGTGTGCTCCTTTATGTAGTGCTGCAACTGAAGAATTAGGAGTATTGCCTTCGTGGGTGGTAGTAGATATTTTCTACAGCAGTTCTCCAGGATCCTCACTGCAATTATATTTTAACATTGATTCTGAAGAAAACTAGATGCTTAAATTGATGGGTTTAAAAAAAAAAAAAAGTTGTCATTTTTCACGTCTTGATAAGTTTAACAAAAATTAATAAAATTAATTAAAAATTAATTTTTAAAATTATAAAATATACTAAACCCTTCCCACTTTTTAATTTTCCCACTACTGTAATTAGAAATGCTTTTGTGCTAAACTTAACTAGGTAAATCTGACTCTTTCCTCTAAATATTTGCTGGGTTTTTGAACACTTCCACTAAATCCAAAGTGGAAATGGAAAGAATACATCTAGTGTTAGGTCTAATTACAAGATGTTGGTGTACTGTTAGGTTTATTTAAGAATTGAAAAGTTTGGTTGGTCTATTTTAGCTGCCATTTTTAACTGTTGGATATTCCTCACTTTTTTTTAATGAGGCATGGTGAATTTTATTTCCACTTTTCCAATACCTTTTGGAATAATTTGCTTTTTAACAAATTATAACCAATAGCAAATACGAGGAATTTTTTTAATAGACAGTGAAAGGTTGGGGTGAGCTTGTGTTCTGCTGTGATGACGTGAGGAAGTGGACAGATGCAAGGTGTTTGGTAGGAGATGAAGTTAAGAGACAGATAAGGAAAGCCTTTTTACTTCACGCTGAAAATGTTATGCAAATCTCATTGTAACAAAAGTCAGCTTATTTTAAGGGTTCTGTCCCTGCCATGAAGAAACACTCACGAAGTACAGAAAGGCAAAACTTAGATGTGTTGAACAGTTAAAAGCAATTGAAACTGAAACTGGTCATGAAAAAAGTGAAGATATTTCATTATAGGGGAGGGAAAAACCCTTTTTCTTCTCCATTACAGACACTGCACAGCCTTGAATTGGAAGCTTTACGCCTAAGCTTAAATAATATGCACACCTCCCAGCTTGAGCTTACGCACTCTAACTTGAGAAAAGAAAAGGAAACTGCCCTTGTGGAACTAAGGGAGATGCTCAATGATAAGCGTGCTCAAGAGGTAGCAATTCTACAAAGCCGCCATCAGCTGGAGCGGGAGAAGATTAAAGAACAGTGTCTGAAGGAAAAAGAAGACCTTAAGTCAAAGTATCAGCAAGAACTAGGTATTAAAATTTGTGACTAATGGACCAGAAATTGAAACCCTGTCAGTATTTTTCTTCCTCTACAGGTTTCTGTCTTGGTGTAGAGCTGGCCTTTTGGGTGATGGCTGGTGTTGCCTTGAATAGGGAGAGTGGCTAGACTGGCATGTGCAAGACTGCATGTCTTATATGCAAAAATGAAGTTGTCCAGACCTAAGTTTAATTTTTCTTCAACTATATGGGTACTTTGCTGCTTCTTCTGTAAAATAGAACTATACTGAACTAGTTGCTTTCAGGAGGCATTAGACAGAACTCTCATAAAGAATTTAATCGGTGGAAAGAGTAGAGCTCTTACCCCTTATGTTTTGTAAGGATTTTTATTGCCCTAAGTCAGCAGTGACTACTGTTGTGTTTCTGACAAGATACAGAAATGCTTCCTGGCTTGCCCTCTCAGTCGTTTCAAAAGGAGGATAAAGGAGTTGGAAAGGAACTGCAAGGCTCAGTGGGAACCTGCAGCTGGGTGTCCTTTGAGATGTGTTTGATATAAGATTGTATTTTGACATCAGCAAGAGGAAAGTTGCACTTGATAGTACTGAAGGCCTGCTGATGGTGTTCTTGGCATTATTTGGGATATTTGCCTCTTCCCAGATCAGGAGACCATTTCTGTATGGCAGAGCTTGAGGAATTTGTGGAGAAAGGTGAGGCCTGCCGCAATTCACTGAAGAAGTTTAGGAAGCATTCATTTAGTTGCTCTTCCCTGAGAGAAAGAGAATGTTTTAAGGCTGTGTCTTTTTGACCTGAGAGTAGGAAACCATTTGTTACCACCAGTAATACAGTGAACTGATGGCATGGTGGGATTTGGGAGGAGGAGGAGGTCTGGATGCAGTTGTTAAGATCAATGCTGTTTATGTGCGTTTTGGCAATGTAACTTAATATGAACATAACCACTTATGAGTGCTTGAATGTAGGGTCTGAAAAGGAGAATCCGGAATCAGATGATGCAGGAGACCTGGTGGGGAGTTGTGGATACTGTTACCTGGAGGACTAGAGGAAAGACATTTCTCTTCAGGGAAGCAATGATTGGGCAAGACCCAAGTCACTTGAGTGCTGGGACGCTGTCTTGTAACTTAGATGATATTTCTTCCTCTACTGGACCATTAGCTGGGTAGCTGGCACCATCTTGCTCTCTGAGTTCTGATTTCCCACTGGAAGACTTGAAATAAGGTTGTAAGCTAAGGCAGTCGTACTTTGAAGCTGTGAGAGGGGGACTGATAGGCTTTTACAGGATTCTTGCAGATCAAGAAAGGTGCTGAACAAGAAGTTGTAATGAATCTGGGGAGGAGCTCGGAAGGAAGAAGCTGTTAGTGTCAGTGGTAATTGAGCAGATAATAGCATCTGTCTTGCAGTCTGCTTCCTAGGCATTTTTAGAAGAAATTTGAAGAGAGTTTCCTGCTTTCCTACTTGCTGCTGTTGCCTGCTACTCTTTTGCTGTGTCTCTGGAGTTAGAGCTGATTCAAACACTTAATAATGACGTGCAGTGAAATGCTCGCACCTAAAATGACATTGATAGGCATTTGAATTTATATCTTTAGGAATAAAGGTGTGGGGGTTTTTTGTTGTTCTTGTTGGGTTTTGGGTTTTTTTGGCTTTTTTTTTTTTTTTTTTTAAGTATCATGCTCTCTGTAGATTTAAGCAGACTTTTCTTTGCTAATTAAGCTGAACGTAACCTTCAGGGCTGTCTTTGCAGTTGTAACTGCTAGATGCTTGCTTTCTAAAATGAAAGTGAATTCCTGCGATATAGCATAGCAGCAGATTTGGGTAGAACCCAGTACCTTACACTGCTGCATGCCTACCTATTTAAGCCCTGAGTTTGATGCTGAAAATGGTAATCTCATCCATATTTCTACTTGTTATTTAATCATAACATTTTATGTACCTTTATTAATAAGTAGTATTTTATTTCACAGTTGATCAGAGAAAGAAAATAGAATTGGAAATGGAAGAGACACATATCCAGGCATTAGAGGTACAAATTCTCTTCTTCATACAAGAAAAAGTAGAACTCCTTTCACTAAACTAGAGCTGGTAGAAGTCCCATGTCTGCTACACATTTATCGTAGAGGACAAATAAATGGAGGAGGAAAAAAAAAGTACTAATTTACTAAATGTGTTTGCTTTAATAATGCATGTCTTGCTGTCTTAGACTCTCAAAAGAGACTGGCAATTGGAGTCTGAGATGCGTTTGAAAAGCATGTGTGAAGAGCTGTCTGAAAAACACCAGACTGAAATGGTGGAACTGCAGAAAACTCTGGAAATGGAGTTAGAAAAAGTCAAAGCAGAGCTGGGGCTTCTTTCTCTTGAGAATGAACAGTCTAAAAGTAAGTGCCATGGTCTGGGAAGCAGTTGTCTTTAGTGAAAAGAAAAGCTAACAAAGTGTTTTTAGAACCTGTATAAAAAGCAAATACAAGATGTATCTATGTACTCTTACTTAAAAACTGGGCTGATGGCATGAGACTCTCTAGAAAACAGGACATAAATGGAAAATTGTTTAGAGCCTGGTTAGCTTTGTTGCGTTTCGACTTCCACAGAATATGAGATGGAATATATCCTTCAAGCGTGTTATAGGGAGGTGCTGTTTTGCTTCCAGCTGAAAACCGGCTTTGGCAATTACTGAATTAATCAAAATTCCAATTAGTATCAATGGAAGTTTCTTCTAACAAAAAGATCGGGTTTGGACTGTGAATAGTTAAAGCTTAATGGAACAGTAGCTTTTTTAAATATTGTTCTGGAAGTGATGTTTTTGAGTTTTCATGAACTTGAAAAATGAAATCTGGATGAGTATCTAGCCACGTACATCTTTTTTAGGTCTTTTGTTGAGGTGCAGGTAGGAGAAAGGATTATGAAAAGTTTGTGTAGGTCTCAAAAATCTGACACGTTTGTTGAGATAGTGGTTGAATGGCACAATAGTGTCAGATTTGCTGTCAGTGATGGCGTGAAAAGGGGCCACGAGATGTGGTGTGCCATGAAGTGAAGAGAGAGAGCCTCTGAGGTGCTATACAGGTGAAAGACATGGGAAATAATACTCTCTTCAGATAAATGGAAATGCAGTTAAGGGCACTGGATGATGCTGGCTGGCAGGCAGCCAGACCATGTTTGAGAAGTGGAAAGTAGCCTTTTTGACCTGCCAAGGGCCGGATGCTTTCACAGTGTTTAGCTCGCCTTTGGCTGCTGCAAGGACATGTTTGTAGCAATGGCTTGTTCTTCTCAGCCTGCACTGGCTGTACTAGATTTCCCTGAACCTGTATCATTAAAGTCTGTTCTGTGAGGATAACGTGCATCTCTTGCAGCTCACTGTGGCTGAAATGTGGTCACTTGATTGCAGATTCTTCCTGGGCAGGTCAAGATTTGTTGACCAAATGAGGTAGTAGCAAGTCTACAGGGTTCAAGGAGTGCTCAGTGCCGAAGCGAGAGCGTACTTGGCATGAGCTTTCCTAGTCCTTCCTGTTCATCTCTTCTACTGCCTGCTGCTGAGTGTGGTCGTAGGAGAAATTCTGTATTTGTAGGCCATGAAGAAATGCTTGATTCCCTGTTCCAAGTGTGTGTGCTTCTAGTTCAGGATGCTTGTTCATGTATGCAGAGAGAGCAGATGCTCATCCCTCCAACACTACTGTTGTTTACCTCTTGGCTAACTGTGGGATGCAGAGAACTAGGAAGCACTGTGTGGAAATGTTTGACTTTCAAATACTTTACTGTTCAAGTATTTTTGTGATTCCCTGTAAGCTAGTATTCTAGTCTAGAGACATGCATTTCTATTTTAGTTGCACAGAAGTTGTACAGGTTATTCAGTAACCAGGATGGTGGTGTATAACAGAACTCATTTCTAATTTTAGCGAAATGTATGGAATTGGAGAAGCAAGACCAGTTAGCCATTACAAAATCACAAGAACAGCTGCAGACTGAACATAACCAACTCCTAGAAGATATGAAGATGAAAAGCCAAGAAAAAGAACAGAATCTTCAGAAGGAGGTAGATTTCTTTACTCGTTTCAAGTGGCTGATTACATATAACAAAAACTAGACCGCGTGACTTATTTGTATTTAGGGATTTTATTGAAAATCTAAAATGCATCTCATGAAGTAGGTAAATACTCTGGGATTTTCTATAGTAGTTCAAAATCTTTTGAATGCAATTGCCTTTGTGCCATTTGGTGCTGTTTCTTCCTCTGTATTTATATGCTTAATTTTCTGGTTCTTGTTCAATTTTTATCTAGCTAATACTTTATTTTTGCCAGTGATGATAAATATGGCATTAGGACCAAATTCCTTTCTCTTAGATGGGTGGGTCTAACAGTTAAGTGCTACTCAGAATCTCTGGTAGCCTGGGTCAGGAGCTGAGAGTCTAGTTGTCACTAAGTTTTTCTACCTATTTCTGACAGAACTGTCTGTTGCATATCAAATAAGCAATTAGAACAAAATTGTTTTAAAAAGATTTTTTATGTTTGTTTTTTTTTGTTGTTGTGTGTTTCTTTTTTGTTTTTGTTTTTTTTGTCAACATGTCTTCCATAGCTGGAGAAACTTCAGGTCATGCATGAAGAACTCAAGACTCGGTCACAAGAAGAAATCAGGCAGCTTTGGTCTCAGCTCAATAGTACGCGAGCAAATCGGCAAGAGCTAAGTGGTATGTTCAAAACTGACGCATTTTATTTTTTGCCTCTTCTTCATATAGAAGTGTGCATTATTGACACAAAATACTTTTAGTCGTGTACCAGAAATACGCAGGTAGGTCACAGAAGTGTCAGTGAGTTGTACCCTAGTGATCTGTTTCTGAAGTGAGAGGTGAGTCAGTGTCAGATGACTAGTTGGTTCTGCAATGTCAAAAAGCATGGTATGGCTGTGGGGAAAAGCTCACTCCTGTTGTTTTCCTTTCCCTTCCCACTCCGTTCCTGCACCCTATAAAAATCTTCAGTGAAAACTAATCTTGCAATGTCAAATTAAGTATAACGTAGTTTAAAAAAAATGGAGAAAATGCCGGTCAATGCAATAACATGCTCCTATTTGTATTCAGTATGGAAGCAGGTATGAATTCAACTGAGAAAACTGTTAATTGAAGGTATACAGTCAAGATCATCACTTAGTTTATGACTTTGAGTAGTTTATTGTGGCTATGATAGATTTTCTTTTATTTGGAGATAATTAAGAGATCAGTTCTGCTTAAAAAAAAAAAAAAAGCAGAAATATTTTAAAACTGTGTGATTAAGTTTTATCTTGAGGTAGAAGTGGATTTTTTTCCCTTTCAGTTTTGAGGTGAGTTAAATAAAATGCTTTTTCGTTGACACTCAAAATGGAGATTCACCATCTTCTGAAAGACTTTTAATTCTTAAATATAGAAAAGCCCTGGGTTAAAGATATCTCTATTTTAGAAATAAAATAAAAACATTCAGGTGATACTTCTGAAATCAGAATGAATGGCAATGTTGTTTTGCTATAAGGCTAAAAATAACCTCCTTTTTCCATAACGATGCTTCTGTTTAAAAAGTAAACGAATCCCCTAAACGTAAAAGCAAAGAATAAAAGGAAAACTTTGTGCACAGCAATTACACGTGAACAGTTTTGGAGTTGGTTTTTTTTTTTGGTTGGTTGGTTTGTTTTTTGTTTGTTTTTTTAATTAGTCTTATGTGTATCTGCATTAAATTTATGAAAAAGTTTTAAAGCTTGAGAGAAAATAATGACTGGCTGAAAGCTGACATCGTATGCTTTATATATCTTAAGATATCTGTTTCAAGATTTAGGTGTATGAAGCAAAACAGTCAACTTTACAGTGTAGTGATCAGAGATCACACACATTTTCAGTTGAAATGAAGTACAACATGTCTCAGATGTGTGTGTGCAAACAAATGTATAATACATGAAAGAAGAAATTTTGGAAAAATAAGAAAAGCTAGAGACCGTGACATTAATCTTGACTATGTGAGTGTTCACCTTGTATTGAGACTCTAACATTAAGTGACGTTTTTTACTTCTGCTGGGGTAGTTGAAGCTTATTACATTTGCCTCTTGTTTTAAATCCAATTTCAGATTTTCTAAATAATATAACTGTAAATAGGTTTTGAAGTATAATAGGGTTTTGTGAATGTGGGGTTTTTGTTGGTTTTTTTGTCATAAATTGAATAAATAATTTTTCTATCTAATCAGGCTTTGCCTTGACTTTTCCAGATCTCTGTTTTGATATTAGAGAATTATAGTAGATAGCACTTTATAGTATTTGCTGGAATTCTTATATTTTCTCTCTGTAGCCCTAATCTTTATTAACCTTTCAAATGTCTTTCTGAGTTTCTAATCACTTACATTCCCATTCTTTGGACCCTTTCTGTTTCTTCTTCATCTTGGCTTGAGATGGTGAGACCAGAATGCAAGCCCATGGTCCAGGTGAGGATATCTCTTTTGGTGCTTAAGATACACTCTTAAAGGTGTTTTGTTTTACTCTGCTTTTCTTCACTTGAGTGATCATTTGACAACGCATTTGGATTGGTTTGAGGACTCGTGGTGGATTCAAAAGATAGCAGCTGGATGATGGGACCGCTGCGCTGATGTAAGAGTGACATGCCAGTTCAAAACACTTTTAACCACTTTTAACAGTTTAACACTGTTAAACACTTTTCTGGGTTAATTTTGTGCCAGCAGACTTTGCTAGTTAGGCAAAACCTACCTGTGCCAGATTGAACTTCCCTTGCCTATCCCATTGGTGGTGTTACTAGTCCCTGCTTGTCACTTGATTCCTCTGGTCCCTGTGCTTAGCAACTGCTCCCTTTGGAAGCAGGCTAAAGCCATGTACTTACTTCTCTTATTATTTCTGTTTGCATGTTCATTGTGAGAATTCTTCATGCCAAGTGTGCATTTTCTGGTTTGCTACACAAAAACACACTGTGACAATCAGCTGCGTTGCTTCCTGGGTGGCATCCTCTGTTTCCATGAATGTTTCTGAAGTTTCTCTTCTTGCATAACATAAACAGATGCTTTTTTCTTCTTTTCTTTCTTCTTGAAATGCAGTTCCATCTTCAGTTGATTCTGTGGGGATTCAGCTAATTTAAGTCATCTGGGAAGTTGAGCCATCTGGGAAACTTTTTTAATTCCCTCTCATGATTATTGTCCTTTTTTCCTAACTTTTCACTTCCTGATACATTACTGCTTCTTTACTACAGAACGTGGAGAGAAAAAAGCTCTCAGAGTTCATGAATGTGCTGCGATGCTGGCCATTGCCTTCATTCCCTGAAAGGAGGGTAACTTGCTGAACCAGCCTCGATCGCTGTTTTTTACTGCATTCTACTTTGTTGTTGTTGTTGTTGGATAGTTCTTTTTAATTCCATGAATTTAGCCTCTGCTTGAGCTAATGATGGATAGCCAAACCATCACTAAAGTAATCCAGAATTGACTTAATTTTTTCTTCCTTGTGATTTTGTTTTTCTGTATAGTTTGTGCTAAAGTTGTTTTTGTTTGTTGGGTAGTTTTCCCTGGAGCAAATTAAATGTTCTTGACTGAATTATTGCTTCCGGTTGCTACAGCAAGCAGGTGTGAAGATTAAGCAATACTGCAGGACTCTGCATGTCACTAGCCCAGATCTGAAGCACAAGGGAACGAGGAGGGCTAACAGTCTGCTGGTAGTTTTGATTCTTGTCATGAGGATGGTTTCTCTGAATGCAGTGTAAATGGAGAACACGGTTTTACTGTCTTCTGAGGAAGGAATGTTTCGTCTTTCAGAAGTTCATTTTCTTATGTAGCTTGTGGGATAACATTTTACTGCTATCTCAACAAGTCAAATATGGCTGATCTTCACAGAATGACTTAGCCTAAAGATATGTACTTCTGAGTATTTGTGTTGGTTTTGCCTCCATTCCAGAGCTAAAAGAGCAGCTCCTGGCTCGCGCATCACGGGTGGAAGAAATAGAGCATTTAAAACAAGAATTTGAACAGCAGCGTCAGCAAAGAAAAAGTGAGCATGAAACTGAATTGGAACAACTGAGACTTTATTTTGAAAACAAATTAAGAGTTGCTGAAGAAAACTACAGAGAAGAATTGACTTTGCTGCATCAGAGACTGCAAGAACTGACGGAATATTCACTGTCAGAGTTGGAAGTGAGTCAAGATCAAGCAGGGAACATCAGGTGATTATTATTTTTCCTTTCATCTCATGTTATGACATCATGCTTTTTTTTTTTTTTTTTTTTTTTATATATAAAAGGTGATGTTAGCATCTAAATATGGTGGGATTGGGCATTAGGTGATCTGTAGTTAGAAACATAGCAATGGAAGTCATGTGTGCGCAGTCCGAAGCAGTTGTTGTAGTTGCCTACTTTCAGTACTACATCGTAAGTCAGCAAGTTCATTTAGCTTAATTTGGACACACGTTACAATCTTAAACTTTAACACCCTTTTCTCAGTTCTTCTGTCGCAGTTTTTGAAGAGACTACTGAGAAAGAGAGAAGGGATACACTTGGTCAGCTAAATCAACAGCTGGAACAACATCAGGTAGTATTTTTGATATATTAAAGTTCAATTGTTCATTACATGATGTGTATGAAAATTGATGTCTGATTCCTAGCTCTTAGCAAAGAGTTAGTTAATTCGACACATTTATTAAGGCTTAATTACTTTTGACAAGTATATTGTAAATTACCAACTTTAAATAGTTCTCAGACTAGCAGAACCCATGAAACATGGTGTTCTGTAATTTTGTGTCCTCTAGGTTATCCCATGCCTAGTAAGGAGCTTATCAAAGCTATTCCACACAAGTGCAGAATTCATGGTGTTTCTCTTCTCTATAGCTTCTGTAGTAATTGTGCTTTTTATTGTTGTCTGTTCTTTTCAAGTGGAGATGCTAATTTGGTCCCTCTTCTATTTATGCACCTATTTTCATGTATCTTGTTGTAATTTAAGATCTTGACTTCATTGCTCAACTTATCTGAAGTTGACTAAGAGTTTCAAAAAGGAATTTTCCTTTTTTTTTTTTTTGGCTTTATTTTTTAAATTAATTATAAAAAGTAATATTTTTTTTTTTAATGAGGGAATGACAAGCAGACAAGACATACACAAGACAGCATGAGCTCAATTTCATTAGTAAATCACACAAAAAACATGAGTTATAAATGAGAAGTGTATACATCATGTCTTTTTTTCTTGCTGCTATTTGTTACCTAGCTGAGTATGAAACTGCATTCATAGATCGTTATTTCTAAGTTCTGTGGTGTGTAGAGGGGCATCTCTTCAGTGTTGAGAGTCAATAGTTTCTCCCCAAATGCATGTGGGACTTCCCCCTCTACAATACTTTCAAACAGCTCCTGAAACTCAGATCTGCCTTGTGGCATGGTTCCAGACTGTATCTACTTTTTTTTACTGAAAAGGTTCTAATATACAGATTTTTTTGAGACTATTTTTTTCTTACTCGCCCTGTTTCCCTATTCGAAATACACTAAGACAGCACTTGGGACATGGTTTAGTGGTGGACTTGGCAGTGTTAGGTTTACAGTTAGACTCGATGATCTTAAAGGTCTTTTGCAACCTAAATGATTCTATGATTCTACTTTGAGGGTCTCTGCCACTCTAGTAGCAGATGGAGTGGCAGGAACGTATCAAGCAGGTGCTGCATTATAGGGCAATTCATATATTGCTCTCATTGAAAGATTCTTGGCATGGTTTCTTCAAAGCTGAAGATGTCTTTCTAACCCATTTCTTTTGTAGGAAGAACTTGCCTGTTTGCAGGTACAGCTTAAAGAACAACACAGGCATGAATTAGATTCGTTAAGGTCTTCCCTTGCACTTCAATATAAGGAGGACCTAATGAAAATGAAGATGGATCTGTCAGACAAATATATAACAGAAATAGAGGAAATGAAAAGAAAGCATTGTTTAGAACTTGAGCAGCTCCGTGCCCGACTTTCAGAAGAACATGTTAAAGGTAAGATGAGCTGACAGACTGGGAAGTAAAATGGGAAGCTGCTTATGTGGCTTATATTTTTCTTTAAATATTTAAAGGCTTATCTGAAGACATTTTCAATTTGTTATTAGTTTACTCTAAACTATAGAGAACGCTTAACACATTTTAGTCCCTGGCATCGAGCGCTTTGCTTTTTGACTTTTATGGGCATGTTGAGTTGCACCTCCAAAGATGTGGTGACCATAAGTTGATTATTCTGTAGTGAATACAGAACTGCTACAACTGTGGAGCAGTTGCTAAAAGGAGTTCTCAGGTTTTCATTCTTGATGCCTAGAAGGGCACTGTCAATTCCTGAATTAATAGTTACTTGAAAATTTCTTAGTGTTGTCTGTCAGTTATGTTAAATGTCTCTTGTATTTGCATGAAATAGATCAGTTCTCATTCTGTTCCATAGAGTAGACCCACTTCTGTTCTATGTTCCATGCTTCTTTTACCTGTTTTCCTTTTGTGGGTTTGATAGTGCTCTGCTCATTTGACATTAATACTTCTTTTTCTTCCTGTGTTTGCCAACTAGTTGGTATACATATTGGGATGAATTTTTTGAACAAAGAAGAAAGTATTTAAGGGGAGCAGAATTTGTAATAGGTATCTTTTGCTGTAGACTTCAGGTTAAAATTCCTCTTACGGCTAAATTTAATGAGACCTCCTATGTGATCATGGGTTTATGTCATTTCTTAACAGTTGCTGCTTTTCTTAGAATCGTAATTTATAGAAATATACTGCCTTGTACTGGTTCAATATGAAATGCGTATATTGTTGAGGTGCAGGTAAGGGATCATGGCAGTTCTTTTATCTGCAACCTCTTTCTGGGAGCACGGTATGATAAACAAACGTTTGAATTAATCATCCATAACTTACAGTTAGCTATATAACACACATGGCTATAACTATATTCCACTGTATGTTGGTTAAAAGGATCAGTACAACTTTTTTAAATTTGCAGTTATATTTCTTATCTTCATTTATTTATTTTTAATACTAGACAGTATATCAAAACTGTTTAAATTAGAATGATCAGAGATTTGTCCCATCTGCTTTTTGGGCAAATGCCTTATGTAAATAGTATGTGCAAAAGAGGAGATAAAACTTGCATAAATCTGCCATTACTTCGTCCAAAAAGAAAGTCAGCTCCTGTGGCTGTTGCTCATAGGAGGGAGGTCCTGCCACAGGTTTCATGATCCATCCCCTTTATTCTTTGTGTGTTGATACTGATAAATTTCAAAGGTGGTGATAAAGCGGAACAGAGTACAAAATCATCCCGATAAGGGATTCTTGTTGGTCTGTAGTCAGTATGGCTACTGATAAACTGCACAGCTGACGTTCAGCTTTATTTCTGTGCATTAATAGGACCTATTAAAAGAAAATAAATTCCAGAATGTCTTTTTTTGTTTGTTTATTTTGTTTTTTCTTTTCAGAAATCACCAAACTGCACCTACAGAGTGCTCAAGATGCAGCACATCAAGTTGAAATGGAGGTGGCTGAGAGAGTGTCTGTGCTGGAGGAAGAGCACAAAGCTAAGCTCTCTCTCCTCCACTCTGAGAAACAGTATATTGCAGAGCTTTTGGAAGAAATAAAGCATTTAAAGGAAGAGATTACTAAACAAAAAGATTTTTCTGTGCAGAATGAAAAGCATCTGAAAGAGGAAATGGAAAAGGTAATTCGTATTACAGTAGTGTTTTGTATAGAGTTGGGCAAGATCAGATCTGTTGGGAGGGCCAAGGGAGATAGAAGCAGCACTTATCTTTAAATGCGCCTAGTTTAGTGACAGTAGCTTCAGCTTTAAATGGACTTGCATAGATACACACAAATACTGGAATACAAATCTGAAGTTCAGAGCACTTCAGTGTTAAACGCTTAGTTTCTCTGCAGATGCACTTTTTAAGAGCACAGATAGTGTGGGAAGGCAGGTGCTTCAAGGGTTGATCCAGTCTATCTTTTATATTGGTGTGGGTCAAGCATACATATACCGCTCCAATACAGACACGTACAATAAGTCCTCATCCCGAACATCTCACTGCAGCACATCGTAGCGTAACATGGTGCGAAAGTAACATGGTGCACTTGCATACTGTCATGTGGTAATGGAGAATTCAGCAGAAAGCACTGTGGCAGATGGAAAAAGCCCCTCTGCTGAATGTGTCCCCTCTAAGAAATTTCTGGTTTTGGTAGGACTGTTTTTTGAAGCAAATAACCAGAAATAATTTTTCAGACCATTTTTTGAGGGAAGAAGAAAGCAACGGACAATAGATTTCTGCTTTTGCTTTGCTTTGGTGTAGCTGTTATACCTTCACTGTCAAAGTCTTAGTGTTGAAAGAATCATATCTGGCACCTTCCCTCTTAGCTGTTAAATCAGCTGTCCCATCTGAGGATAAACTTAGATTGGATGTTAATTCATTGTTTAATTTGTTCCAATATTTGAATGCTTATGAGAATCAGATGGGTGAAGCTCTCATTTCTCAAGCCCTCCTTTCCTCCCTTTTTAAAGAGAGATAGGTATGTGTATCCTTTTCCTTTAAAAACTGGTAGAGGGGGCCAGAGAAAACAGTTGCAGACTGTACATAAAATGGAGACTCAGCTGAAGCTTCTAGTAGTGAAGCTTTCAGTACTGTTAACTTACTGCTACCACTTGCAGTATCTTGTTTGTGGCACTGCTGGCTGGGTAAAAGATAAGCGTATACAGAATGCGGTGTTTGAAATGAGCCTATACCGCATGCTGATCCACTGTCTGGAAATACATATTTTGTTTGCCTTCTGGTCGCTCGCTCTCAGAAATAGAGTGAACCAATTTCCTCAATTGCCTCTCTATTCCAGTGCCGCCTGCCTCCCCCCCAAGTTTTCATGGATTGTTGTTAATCAAAATCTGGGGGTTTTGCCTTTCTTTTCTGCCTCTTCATTTAGGTTGTAGCATAAATGAATGCTTAAATATTTGTTCAAAACAAACCTTCTAAGTGAAAGCTGAAGAGTATACTTCATACTGATGCTCCTGTGTGATCTCTTATTAGCTTTTAATTTTGTTTTAAGAGATGACCCTGTCGTTTCCTTAGTTTACTATTTATTTGTTTACCTGTAGTATAATTTTAGAGTCTTTTTTTTCCCTTTTGTCATTAAGCAGTCATTTGGTGCTTTGGCTTCTGTTTTTATGCTACATGCTTTTATGTTGCTTTTGCGCTATGTATGAGATCATGGTCTTGGACACTGTATCTAAAATACCACTGCAATGTATAAGGAGAGGAGAGGTTTAAAAGAGATTTTTAATCATGCCCAATATAAATACCTAAGGTGCCCATAGCTTTATAAATTGAACTCCTGAAATGAAGGAAAGTGGCCCCAAGAGAAAAAAAACATAGAATACCATATTAATTCTAGAATTTTCCCTTAATTTTTTCTTATCTTCCTTAACCCAATTAATTCTTAATAGTATGTTGAATTCAAGTACCTATAAATTGACATTTCAGCCTTACTTTTATTTGGAAGGGTGACTTCACTGCAAGAATTGAATCTCTGCAAGGCCTTAAATGCCTGAGAACATTCACTTCACACACTTCAGTTTGGTTTTGGTATTTTATGCATTTTTTAATAACTGCGTTCACAGGTAAAATATAAAATTGCTGAGGATCACAAGAATAAATTAAGGGAAGCCAGAGAAGAAGTCCGGAAAATAGAAACTATGTACAAAGAAAAAGAGAAGAAATGGAAATGTGAAAGGGAGGACCAGAGAATCCAAGCAGAAGAGAAGTTATCATTGTTGCGTATAGAACTGCAAAATAGAGCAGAAGATGAGAAGCAGAATTTACAAAAGGAGTTTGAACTTCGTGAAGCTGAAATGAATCAGCTTCAAGATCACCAAGCTGCCAAAATTCTAGAATTGGAGAAGTTGGTAAAAGAGCAGCAAAACAACTTGCAGCAACTAGAGGACAGCCTTGCAAGTGCACAGACTATGCAGAAATCTCAGGAGCAATATGACAGTGACCTGCAGGCAGCTAAAGCGCTCATGGCAAAAGAAATGGAAAAGGCCACACTTTGTCTGCAGGAAGAATATGCACTGAAACTTATGGAAGCACAAAACAAGTAAGTCCTGAGTATTTGAGCACTTTCACTTACCAGTTCAGTCATTGTTATTGTTACTTTTTCTTATTTTAAACTTAATGAGTTGTAGTGATGTAGGTTTGTCACTTGATGGCACTAGCTATTTATCCAATGTATATAAATTATAAATGTTCCTTTTCCGGGTTAAGTAAAGGTGGCCCATCCACCGAAGTAAAGGCCAATAATTGATGTCTGTCATTAGGATGGATGATGCATGATGATTCCAAGCCCTACATACTATCAACACCCTATTGTGTCACGCTTGCCCTGTTGCCTTTTGCCCTCAGCAAAGGGGGTCCGGTTCCTGCCTTAGATAGATAGAAAGAAAGAATCAGTTTATTTACAATTCATTAGTTCATAACTTATATATGTAAAGCTTACTCTTCCAAGGAACATTAATGCTGTCCATTATGGTTTACTGTAGAATTTTCCTTTATGTAAATGCATTTGATCTAGTCTAGCAAATCAAATGAAGTGTAGTCAAGTTCTGCCTGTTACAGTTAAGAATACAATACACAGCTGAAAATCATATATACTAGCCTTGGAGGAGGGGAAGTGTTACAGGACATGTAGTTGGAAAAATTCTTTAAATTTTTTCAAGTGTTTTCAAACAATTCAAATAAATTTGAGCAAGTTTTTCCTGGTGAATGAAGCTTGTGTTATCCACTGAACGCTGAGGTTGATGGGCTGCATATGGTATTCTTCAGTTCTGGTTAGACATGAAGGTTCTAACTGCTCAGTTTTTCCTCCCCTTTCTACCCTCATTGTTTTTAGTGTATTAAAGGAAATACTCAAACAACTACATGTTTGTATTTGCATGCATTGCTTCAAATTTATCCCTTTTTTCCTCCCCAAACATACGCTCGTAGAACAAGATTGGGGAAATAATTACGGTAAGAAAACACTGAAAGCAGGAACTTAGCCTTTAAATAACCAATCACTTTTTAATTATTGGTGTTTGTATCCAAAAATAGTATAGTTAATGATTACAGTAAATTGCAGCATTTCAGATACTAAATCTTCTGCATCAAGCTTTAAGCAGACCTCCAAGAGCTGAGGTAAGTTAGGAGGAGCCCCCAAATATCCCACATACACTTCCACAGTGGTTTTACATCTCAGTTTTAACCAGATGTTTTTAGAGATCTTACGCAGTTCGTTTACTTGCAGACAACACATTTGAGATGTAGGCAACGTCTATACTATGTCCTAGATGCTCTTATATGGCAGTATTTTCTCAGAGAACGATGAATATGTTGCTCTGTATTAGCGAGTAATTTAATAGGGGTTCCAGTCTACCTAGTAATAACCAGATACTACCAAGTAACATTGCATAAACCTCTAATTATGTGGCTATGAAATCCTCTTTGTGTCTTGCTTTGAATTAGTTCTGTATTTGAAACATAAAGTAAAATTTGTGGAGGCTAAGTACGACCTACTTATTTTTCTTTGATTTTTATTTATTATTTCAATTTTTTTTTTTTGAAGTGTCTTTTTTACAATATTCTCTTAACTTTCTTGGAAATAATATAGGTTTATGGGGGAACACAAAGTTATGACTCAGAAATTCACAACTGAGCAAGAGATTCTTCTTCAAGAGCTGAAAAAGAAACATGTCGATGAACTGGAACTCCAAAGTCAGCAGTTACAGGAGAAGCATAAGCAGCAAATTTTGTCTCTTACAGCTGAGTTTCAGACAAAGCACCAAGCTGAAATTGAGACACTTAAATCTACACTAGAAAGTAAACAGGAGATTCAGCTTGAAGCTTGTGTTGCTGAACTACAAACAAAGCATCAGGCACAAATTGATGAGCTGGAGGCTAAACACTTATCAAATCTGGATTCCTTGGAGTCGTCCTACCTGTCTGAAATTCAGAATATAAGAGATGAACACAGTCAGGCTCTTGAGAAGCTACAGCTGCAGCACACAGAACAGGTCCATGAAAAGGATAAAATGGATCAAGCACGCTTGGTTCAGGAGATAGACAAGTTGCAATTAAAGCATGCTGAAGAACTTCAGCTTTCCCAAAATAATTTGAAAATTGAGCTAGCTACTGTTCATATGGAAAAACTTAAAGCCATGGCTGTTGAAGCAGAAGAAGCTCATAAGGTGAGTCAGAAAGAAAACTTGGCATAGAAGGTGAAATTTCATGGTACATTGTGTGGGATCACCTTTTCCCTTGTTCTTAGGGTGTATTTTTACAACCTCCTTTGTGCCAGCACTAACACTTGTGTGTGGCCATATTGTGAGATGAAACACGAAACTGAAGCTGAAAATTAAGTCCATCTGTCGCTTCCCCTCCCCCCAGATGATCAGATGAATGAGTTTTCTATCTCAGTGTGTGGAAAAGGTACAAATGAAGTAAATATTTTTAACATAATTCAGGTTGGAGGATTTCCATTTTGTGGCTTGGAGCTTCTCTGCCTTGATAGAGTTACCATGCAATTCTTCAGAAGTGATTAGAACAAAATAAATGCAGTTCTGTAGGTTAAGCTACATCTCTAGGAATCCAGAGATCCTCCCTAGTGGCACAGTCTTGAGGGGAAGAATAGAAGAAAGATATGTCTGAAGGTCCCAGGTGGGATTCTGGGAGCAGGTCGTGGGTGAGTGGACCTTGTCTTAGGGCCTTTTACAGAAGTCCATAGCTTTACTCTTGATAGGGCAGAGGTGTGAGCTCTTTTAGAGTTCAGATGGGTAAAAAATGATCCCAAGACTTACAGAATCATAGAATAGAATCATAGAATCATTAAGGTTGGAAAAGACCTCTAAGATAATTGAGTCCAACCATCAACCCAACATCACCATGCCCACTAAACGATGTCCTTAAGCGCCACATCTACACATCTTTTAAATACTTCCAGGGGATGGTGATTCAACCACTTCCCTGGGCAGCCTGTTCCAATGTTTGACCACTCTTTCAGTGGTCACTTCTCCAAGTCAAAGAGGTAAGAAGGCTTAGCTCATTGCTAATGATTCAGAACCTTCCAGGGAGAGATGTACTGTTTTTCAGACTTGTTTGTCTTCGCAAAATTATGGTTATATGTCGTTTCTGTGCCCACAAAAGCTAAGAGGAAGGTCTTGTGGGGGGAAAAGTGGATTTTTTCTTCTGTCCTATCTTTGTTATCTAATCTTAAATCTGCATTTTAATTGTTCTTGAGTGTAAAGAACTTCAAAAAGCAAAAGTTGAAGATTGTGCTGATGGGGAGTGCTGTCATGGATAAAGTAGGGGATTTACAAAACTTCTACTAGATAGGAAAAATAAACCCATTTCAATGATACAAAGAGTGTGTATATGTATGTGTGCTCATCATTCATGAGGCAATATTGTTCGTGTTTACTTAAAAAGCTTTGATACAGCAAGACATGTGCTTTACAAATGGGTTACAAAATATTTGTACTTACTTTTTTTCTCCCCTTTTTTAATTAATGCTTACAAAGGATGGTTTGAACATGGCTCTTCAAAATCAAAGCGCGTTGCTGGAAGAAGAAAAATGTCTGGCCCTGGATATATTACGTGAGCAAGTATTGCATATGGAGGAAAAACATAGAAAAGCACTCCAAGAACTTCAGGATCTTCATGAGGCAGAAACTAAGAAACATAAGGAAGAATACTCCAGGGAGCTGGAAGAAGAATTGAGGAAACTAAAAGCACAGCATGAACATGAGCAAGAGGTTGGAATGTTACTAATCCATACTTTGACATAAAGTAAATTCAGTTTTATTAACCTTAGAAGTAAGGCTGTATATCTAGATGCTTTTTGAATTTTTTTTTTAATAGTGCCAGTAGATAAGAGACAAAGTTAACATTTTTAAGCCTTGCTTTATCTAAAAGGACTTAAAAGAATTCAAAAAGGACTTAAAAGAGTTCATAGATGTGTATTATCCTGAATTTTTAAAATTTAAATCCATGTTTGCAGTGCTCTCTTTACTGGGGCGGGGGGGGGGAGGGGGAAAGTGGGCTTGCTTTCTTCCGAGTTCCTGCCGTATTTAATTCAAAATTTTAAAGCTGCCATCTTGATAGAAAACTAATCGGTAATAAATAGGGTCATTAACCATTTGTGGAAATTAACTGCTCACTTCAAGCTTTTATAAGTGAACAACCTTTACTAACATTGATTTTTCTTCTTTTCTTAGAGAAATTGTAGTAGGTAATACTTTTCCAAATATGTTTTCTCAGTGAGGTTTGGAAATCTTCCTAGTTGCCCTTAAAGCTTTACCATTTCTTCTTGTTGAGAATGTTTATGTGTAAGCTTGGTGATGTTTACTTTCATAGTGAAGGCTAAAAATTTGATCATCTACACTAAGTTCTCTTTAAACATTGAAATGGAATAAGATCTTCTATTTATTCAGTCTTTTATACAATCTGACTAATGTTGATGCAAGCAGCCACAAGTGATCAAGACTTTTCACTTTTCTATGTTATTACATTCATATATTAGGAGAAGTCACAAACAAAATAAGCTTTATCCAGCTATAACCAACAACCTATATTATGTTAAAATGTAACTTACTTTCGCTTTTTCACTTACTAATTTGAAAATTGGATAGTGTTGCCAAATAACTCCCCAATCACTGGTGCACCTTTGTATTACTTGGTGCACCTCACAAAAAATGTTTAGGTATGAGGAGATCCCCTGTGTTCTTTTGGACTGCCAGGCCTTAGAGCTGGTAGTGGTTTCCAGCTGGCTGGAATGAATTGCAAACTCTCTTTACTTTTGGAAGCATAACTTGCCTGGGAAGTTAGTTTTATTAGATTTGTGGGAAGTTCTCATGATTATTAAGTTTTTAAGCCCTTCATCCTAGAAACAGGATTTATCTCTAGTCTGATGACTACAGTGACTCTTCTTGGAGAGGATAATAGGAAAAAAACCAAATGAACAAAAAACCCCCAAACCTTTCACTGATATTTTTGATGGACTTCTTTGTTGTATCTCATAGGATAATTGTATTAAATATATCTGCGTAATGTTTAATCCCATTTGAACAAGAGAAATTACGTCTTAACAAAATATGCTCTCCCAGTGTTTCTCTCCCACTCCTTCCTCCTTATTTCTTTGAATTTCTCTTAGACAAATGTCTGTTGGAAAGAACAAGTAGGGAGTACTCTGTTAGTCTGACCTGATGGTCTCATGAATACAGGACATACTTGGTACCTAATGCCCTGTTGCTTCTTATCTATTTTTGTCAACTTGCTTTCTTCTATAATCAGTGTGATGACAAATAGCAGCTCTGTATAGCGTTGGGGATTGGAGAGAACTATTCTGAAAATACTCCTAAGAATTTGGCTGAGCTTGCTGGTTTCGTTTTGGTTTGGTTTTATTTTTTCCTTAATTATAACACCATGGCTAAAATATTTTATATTACTTGTCTGCAGATGTATGCTTCTGCATCGGCCTCTGAAGTAGAAACTGTGCGGACGGCTCTTCTGGCTCAATTTGAGGAGGTAAAATTGAAGCAGCAGCTTCAGTTCCAGGAAGAGATTGAGTTGCTGAAGTGTCAGTCAGAGATACTCCTTGAACAGCAGATTGCACAGCTGAAGGTAGGGTCTGATTAAAATGAACTTCAGAGCATGCACTGGTAGTGTGTTTTTCTGAAAAAGAACAATTGGTATACATTTTTGTTCTTCAGCCATATAACTTTAAAAAGACAATCTGAGTTAGATCTCTTCCTTCCTTCACAATGTTAGAACTAGAAAAGCAGTATTGTGACTGCTTACAGAACACTGCATTGCTTCCGATATTTACTACAGGGTTGTCTTAAAACCTTGAATTGGATGTGAAGTGGTGTCCTTCAAACAAAACTAAAAAAATCAGTGGAATGTATTTGCTCTAAGCAACAGTCCTACATGCTTATATGTATGTCATTTGAAACTTTTTCTTCTTCGTGTCTGCAGAGACTATGCCCTTGGCCTATCATCCCTTGTCTACTGCGCTTGTGTATATATGGCAAAAAATGTTTAGTGTTATCTAAAGCTTTTACCAAGTGTGTGATGACAGTGAGCACTTTGTGCATGAGATTTTTTTCTAGTTGTTCTTGATTTCTGCTTTCTTGGGTTCTTCATTTGAGTTCCAAACTTTCATCTTGATGAGCATCTTCAAGATGCTTATGCCTGAAAATTATCTTTGTTTGGCCTTGTGTAGAGTGTAGTAATTGCCTATCATCTTTTGAGCCTTGTGTAAAATGTCTTAATTGGTTAGGTGACAAGCATTTATAAAGCTATTAAATGAATGGAGAAGACACAGCCTGTGTCAGAAGAGAGAGGGAAACTCACAAACACAGAAAGCAGCACTTACATTCATCTCAGTGTTATCACTGTACTGAGAATGTGTTGAGCTCAAGTTGTTGAGCAAAAACAACTTAGCTTAGATGAACTACCATCTCCTTATTTGCTTCTCCTTGGGAGATTTCAACAGATCCTTACTGTTCCTGTCAGTGCTCCAACCTGAGGTGCGACTCTTACTAACAGTTGCACAAACCTCTAGAACTGGATGCTGCAGATGAGAAGAAAATTTCTCCTATTTCCTGCCTCTGGCCCACTGTGGAGTCCTGGTCATTCTTTGACAGCTCTCCGTCTGATGCAGCTGTCTTTTGAAACAGAGGAGATGAGCATATCCTGAAAAGCTGCTGGAGGTATATTTGGCATTGCTGTCCTCAGCCGAACCCCAGCCTTCAGTCCACAGAAACTGGGACTGGACTGACCATTATGCATATACCCCAGAAGTGATTCCTGCTTTTCTCTCTCTTGTGCTGCCTAGGTACTTTAGTTACTGAGTAGCATTTGGGACACCAGAAACCTCTCTTTTCGTTTAAATTTTGTCAGGGGTAATTCTACTGCTAGTACAGATGTCTGTGTTCTTTTTTTTCTCTCATTACCTTGATGATTGGTGTTTTGTCACAGAAGAGACTGACTGGATGTCTTTGCAGTGTTAGGCTGAGCTGCATCATGGTCTGATACAGGTTTTTATAATGAGCCTTCCCCTGCCTACTTCCCCCATGCTTGTTTATGGGGTTGTCTTCATGCCAGCCAGTTTCCTTGCTTTCTTCCCCCTGCCTCCCCTAGCAGATTTTAAGTATTCAGAGTTCCTTTCTACAGTCTGACATGCTCTTTTAGTGGATGCACTGCTTCTGAGAAGTTTCAGAGACTTGGTCCACAAGTTTACTGTACTGGTTGAGGAAAGTCCTCATACTCCTTTGTGTCTGTTCATTTGTAGCTTGCTAACTGCTAAGCGCTCTGCTGTTTGAGTCTATAATTCTGGGCAGACTTGGCTCTTCTGCCTTGCTCTGCCTCATGGTTTCTGGGTAGGAGTTGGTATTGTTATTGCCTAGGTGCCAGTATTGATCTTGATCTTGGCTATGATGACAGACCTTACGGTCTCATCAAGCGGCAAGCAGTCCTCACCTAAGGAGCTGGTGATGGATGGGTTATTCTACTCAGTGCAAGGACTGGCTGAGCCTTCCACAAAGGATCCAGGACAGCTCAGGTGACTAAATATGTTCTGCTCTGAAGTCTTATTTCATGCCCTGGGGAAAATTGTTTTCTTGACTTACCAATAAAAAAAAAGGCAGCTATCACCTTGGAGTGTATTGGTTTTCATAGATCAAATTGCACGGGGTTTTTTTTATATTGTGATCAGGAAAACTTATGTCCCAGTTCTGGTGTTGCAGAAACAATTACTTCCTTTTAGCCTCCTTAGGAAGGGATCCCAGGACCTTGTTTCACCTCCCTTATTTGCTGATGCAGAAGTGGGGGATGTCTACTAATCCCTTCCTTTAGAGTGCTTTAGAGCACTCTGAGGTAAGTGAGATCCCATTTAATAGCTTCTAGATCATTTAGCCATGTCAATCTACCTCGTAGATTTTCAACTTGTTCTGGTAAATCACTCCTTCTGTGTGCAACTCAGTACTATGCATGTTGTCCTACTTGCAGTTGCTGAAAGTGGCTTCTGTCCATCTCTGTCCCAAGTTGTCCCATCTGTTTTCTGTTCCTCATCACTATCTCGGCAGTCTGAAATGACCCAGGTCTCAGTGAGCACATTCAGATAGTTCATTTACCTACTTAACGATTTTTAAATCATAGTTTCAGCATCATGTTGTTGATTGGGGGTGTTAACTATGTAAGTTACTGCTAGTTAATCTGAGAGATAAGGTGTGCACATTTAAAGAAAAAAAAAAAAAGGAGGGGGAGGGTTTTGGTTGTGGTTTTTTGAGGGGTTGGGTTGTTTTCTTTCTTTTTTCCCCTCTTTCTGTAAATCAAAGTATATATGACTTATGCAGGACGAATTTGAAGCTGAAAAAGAGGCATCACTACATGACAAGGAGCAGGTGTTGATTCAGGAGAGGGAGAAGGCACAGGCTGCTCACCAAAAGGAGCACGAGATGTTATCAGCCCAGCTGCAGGAAAAAGCAACAATAATTATCCAGGTGCGTGGAAAATATTTTAAAGCTAGATTTTAAATGCGCTTTTATGGTTGCATAGTGCAATGAAGTTCGTAGTTTAGGCAAAATGATTGACTTTGTTGCATTATTACTGTATTTTCCACAGCTGGAAAAGAAAGTGGAGTCTTTAAATCGTGAAATAGAGGATACCAACTCTGAACTGGAGACACTCCTTCAGCGGCGGGACAGAGAAAATCAAGAAGGAGGGAATTTGGTAGCCATGTTGAGATCTGATATTGAGCAGTCCACAGATGAAAGGTGTGTACATCTTGGGTTACATAATGCTTAGCGGTTGGTGGTTCTTTAGCTTGTTTTCTCACTTTCTATAAAGAAATCAATAACTAGGCAAAATTAAGCCAGCTGAAATTAACAGTGTAGGATGATGATGTATTTGTTTTATTTGCAAGTTGTTTTGTTTTGGTTTTTTTTGTTTTGTTTTTTTTAATTACCAACCTATCTTGATAATGGAAAGCAAGACTTTTGTTTTCTTCCTTTTTTTCTTGTGGTCTGATGGAGACTTTGGTGTTTTGGGGTTTCCACTGTATAATCTTGGAAAAAGCTAGGAAATGGAGAAAGCCTCTTGGTCACAGAAACCTTTCAGTACAATGTGGATTGGTTTGATATGTCATTGGAATGTGTGGGTTAGAGAAACTGTCATGCTGAATAAGCTTCTGGAAGAATTCCCTCTCTCACCTTTAAGAAACTGGCTTACTGTTTTTCTTAAAACTAAAATGTTTTCATAATTATAATTTTTGTTGTCTCCTCTGTCAGAACACCCCTCGTTATTTTGATGTCACAGATACTATAGTAGTGAAAGTGTTCTCCCTACTGGTGCTTCCACAGACGTGGAAGCCTGAAATGCTTGTGACTGCAGTATGATCTCTCCATCTAACTATGGAGAAGACAAAGGTTTTTTGCTAAGCCTGCTCTGTGAAAATGGCCTTGGTTTTTTGTGAGTCGTCTGAATCATCTTCACTGATAAGTGTCAAACTATGGCAAGATACCCATTTTAGACTGTCAGTTTTTCAGTAGGTTCAAAGTGCCTTTTAAATCGAGCGCGTGCAATTTTTGAAGTGTTCGATATGCTTTTGTTCTAGGAGAAAACTGCAGGGATCTTACCAGCATCTTTTGAAATTGCTTATGGAGTTGGTGAAGGCCACAATAGCTATTGAGGACCTTATCTGTAACAAGATTGGTCTTTGCCTTGATGACAGTCTGGCTTCTGGAGATTCTAGAGAAAGTCACAGTATTATGGAAGAAATGGGATTCATGCAGTATTTCAAAGCCAAAGAAAAGCATCACCTAGAAAAAGGTGAGTACAAATCTGCACAACTGTATGTAGTTAATTCACGTTCTTGAAAAAAGGCTTTTCATTTCCTTTATATGGATGAGGTTCAGAAAGGGGATATCTCTTGTTGCAGTGTTTTCTGTGTGTCTTTCAAAGTTGTTTCACACTTAAGATAGTGTCTGGGAGTGTTCTTTCATTTTAATTCTCTTAATAGTGCAAACATTAAAATGTTACTGGAAAATGCAGAGTTTCAGGCACTGATGTATAGCACAATACTTCCAAACATTGTGAAAAACTGTCTTGATTTGTCAACATTGAGTTTTCACCTTGTAATACATCTTCAGGACTAACCAATGTCACTGTCTAATGTCAGTTGTTATCTGAGTGGCCAGTTCCGTGTCATTTTTCTGAGTTTTTAAATAGCTTGCTTGTTTTCAGTAGATGAGCTGCTTGATGAAACTCTCACAGAACACAACCAGCTGTCTCCAGTGACTGATGAGGGGTCCGAGTTGAGCCAATACTTATGTGAAAGTGTTTTTGCAAAGCCAGAATTGGCATGTGAAAATGAAGAATTTATACTGAAAATTAGTCATCGTTTGCGCACTGCAGTGGAGAGACTTCTGGAGCTGGTTACAGAATCAACTAAACAAGTAAAACTTTTTAATCTGTACAGATGTATAATTATACTGAAAATGTGAAATCTGTTTTAAGTCTTGTGTATTTAGCACCCTGTAGGATTGGCTACTAAAGAGAAACAGATTTTGTCTGAATACATGGCAAGTTATCAGCATAGGGAGGCATGTGCATCCCCTGCTTCTTACAATGCAGGTTTTGCCCTTATTTGATAATTTCTTATAAATGAGACTAACGACTTTTGTTTTCTTCTAGCAGATCCTGGAGGAAAGCTATAAGTTGGTTGCCTTAAGTAGATTTAAACTAGGATTTTTAGATGCATTTGGTAACTTCAGGAGACCAAGAGTTAAGGGTTTTTTTTTTTTTTATCGCACTTCACATCAATGCTTCTTCAACATTGATAAGGAGGTTCAAGAAAACTCAGTCCCACGTTAAAATGTTTTGGGAATATGTAGATAGCAGCAAGCAAACATCCTTGTAATTATATACTGCTTAATTGTGATAAAAGGAGCTGAACTCAATGTCATAAAAGAACTTGAGTATTTCCATGCTGAGTTTTGCAGTGTCTAGACATTCAGCTTTGCAAAGAGAAGTTGTAAAGCCGAGGTAGATGCCTGAGTACTGTATACATTTAGAGGATTGAATTTAGTGCTGCAGTAATTAATTTGTTGAGTGAAGAAGCCCCTAATTTAAGAGCAGATGTGAAGGGAAGGAGTATATCTGAAATTCATCTTCTCGACAGGTATTTTGTGCAACCCAGAGATAAGCGTCTATGTGAAATGTATATTCACCATCTTAAAAAATCCCTCCTAGAAAGAGGTGCTTAAATTTGTACTTTTGGGTACTGATGCTGGTTCCACTAGCATGTAGTTAACTTGTGGTTAAAGCACTTGCCCAAGCCGTGGCAGATGTAGATTCTAGGTCGTCTTCATCAGCTACATTCAAGCATACTTTGCTTACATCTGTGCAAAGTTCTATCCACCTGGATAAGCTAAATATAAATTAAATGGGAATGGGGCTGCTCTATTCCTTTCCTTCGAACTTGAGACATTGCATGTAGGAATGCAAGATACATAGTCTCAGAGAACTGGTGCCATACCTTGGAAACCTGATGATGTATTGACTTTGCTGTCTGTTAGACATGCCTGAATCTCTTGAAGAATTTAAGTGCAAGGATGCTTTGAATTTCAAGTGGCTCAGGAAGTGTCAGGCTGAGCAGTTTAGCCAACAGGGAGGTATCTCTTTTTATGCACACTAAAGAAACTTATGTGCCTAAGTAAGATTTGTGGCAAAAATACAGGTATGTGAGTACAGGGAGTCACCAAAGTGTCCAGGGGTTTTGGGCAAAGTCAACCTAGCACTAAAATGAAACTTCAAAACCTGGACCTTGATGCATAAATGTTATAAAAAATTAAGAGGGTTTTTGTTTAAATGACTGTAGTGTTGTTACATTGCACGTGCATCCAAGATCTGCTGCTAGGGGAATTTGTTTACTTTTAGCTGGAGAAGATGCATGAAAACCATGCACAATTTGAAGAAGAATTCAGCCGCCAAAATCGGGAAACTGCTCGAGTGGTTAGTCAGCACCAGGAACTAATGGAGTGCCTCAGCGAGCAAAGTGAGGCCAAGAATCAGCTGGCACTAGAGCTTCATAAAGCAGAGGGTAAGAAAGTGAAACCAGTAGGAAGATATTTCAATGTTGCTTACTCATAGCTCATTCCTCCAAATATCTATGGTACGCTTTTTGTGTCTTTTGTTGTTGATTTGCCTGTCTATAATCCATTTTCTGCCTTTCAGATTACTAAGTTACTTGAAAATCTCTTGCAAATCTACTACTTAACTCTCTTCATCAGAATTGCATTTCCCTGGGGCAAGTGTGATAGTGCTTAATTCCTATACTTATACCATTGACTGTGTGTGAAAAATACCATAAAACTTTTTAAAGTGTTTTGTGTTCCTGCATGTCTAAACATGGGAGCTTCGATTTTTGAAAAGAAGATATACTCCCAGTGTAAATTAGCCCACCTGTCTGACCTTGAAAGGGTTCAGCATGAACTAGAGCAATGTTTGATGGTAGTGCAGACACAGAGATTCTGTAAGAAGAGACAGAAAGGCTGAGGCTGTTGATCTCAATGCTATCACAGGCTGCATATCATCAGTCTAATTTCCCCTTGTGAAGGTTACAACTTGAGGTCTTCTCCTTTATGTAGGCGAATCTTTGAGGGTTTCCTTGTCCTTCAAGTTGAGCTTCTCTCCCTAATGATGGCATCTGCTTTCCATTCCTCTTCTCAGTCATACGTCTTCAGGCTTATTTGGTCTTTCCAAAATCTTGTTTCCTTCCTTTCTATGAATCAGTCCTGGATTTTGTGGGTTCTGAATCTAACACTTGATCTTACTTTTTGGAGATTCTGTTTCTTCGAACTTCAGCTCCCAGCAGAGGATGTGTCAGGCTGTCCTATTGTTGTCCGAAAAGCAGATTCGTGCCC